AAAGCGGGAAATTGAATTTTAGTGAGAGCTCTGATAAATGCACTCTGGTATCTTTCTAAATCAACTATCAATATTCTGTGTCTAGAACTCATGCAGGAAGGGTACTCCTGACAGACCTACTGCGGCAGCTACAGCTTATAGCTGTGGCTGTGGTGGCTTAGCCACATACGCATTTGCATTCATGCACGCCTGCCCCGCGGATTTGGAGGGGCGCCGCTAATCAACTGTATCTGTCGTCCCTGTAGCCGATCTGCGCCGGGATCGCCAGTGGCTCAATAACTCAACGTCATTGACGTGATCGTTACTCAAAGGGTGAGCTTGTTGGAGCTACAAGCATACTTGGGCGTTCAGCTAGACCAATTCAATCATTCTAACAGAATTCTGGATGTTATGATTCATTCAGTTTCGCTCTCCGTGCATTTCCTTTCATGATACATATATAGCACTCGCCTCGCTGCAGCAATTGCTCATCATGGCATTGATGCACTCTCTACAGAAGACGGCGACATCCTCCGCACGACTTGCTATTAGATCACGCTTTCAGAGACCAAGTCTTCCTTTAATAGCATCAAGATTAGCATCCACAATGGCACCAAAGGTGAGTTTCCACGAGCCGCAAGGGTTTGCCTCGGGTTTTGGGGGCGAATTTACGGGCTAATCTATCACCTCAGCTCAATGACCCGTCTTTATTCAAGACGGATGTCTGCTATGTGAATGGCGAATGGGTAAAGGCCGCCTCAGGCAAGACTTTCGAGGTCCATGATCCCGCGACAGGAAAGCTCATTGGGACCTGCCCGGAGTTCGACGCCAAGGACACAGAAAAGGCTGTCGTCGCGGCCAGTGAGGCATTCAAGTCCTTCCGCACGAAGACTGGCCGGGAGCGGTCCAAGCTGTTGCGGAAATGGTATGATCTAGTAATGGAGAATTCGGAGGACTTGGCAAGGCTCATCACTCTGGAGAACGGCAAACCTTTCACAGACGCAAAAGGCGAGGTCAATTATGCTGCGCAGTTCTTCGAATGGTTCAGCGAAGAGGCCCCGCGAATCTACGGCGACACAATCCCAGCCAGCGTGCCAGGTAACAGAGTAGTGACACTGAAGCAGCCTGTTGGTGTTTGTGGGCTAATCACGCCGTGGAACTTTCCCGCTGCCATGATCACGCGTAAGATTGGGCCCGCCCTCGCCGCAGGCTGCACAACAGTATGCAAGGCTCCCGGCGAGACACCGTTTACATCGCTCGCACTGGCGGAGCTTGCGCACCGAGCTGGCATTCCTAAGGGTGTTGTGAATGTCGTGACCTCCCTCGAAAACACCCCGCAAGTCGGCGAGGTCTTGACGACGCACCCTATTGTCCAGAAGGTCTCGTTTACAGGCTCGACGGGAGTAGGCAAACTTTTGATGAAGCAGGCTGCATCGAGCCTGAAGATCTTGTCTATGGAGTTGGGCGGAAATGCACCATTCATCGTGTTTGACGATGCTGATGTTGACGCCGCGGTTGCCGGTGCCATCGCGTCCAAGTTCCGCTCGTCTGGCCAGACATGCGTTTGTGCCAACCGCATATACGTCCAGAAAGGCATTTACGATGAATTCGCCCAGAAATTCGCCAATGCCGTCAAGGGCTTTAAGGTCGGCTATGGTTTTGACGAGGGCGTCACCCATGGGCCCCTAATCCACGATCGTGCCGTATCTAAGGTCGAGGCACATGTACGGGACGCCGAGAAGAAAGGCGGAAAGGTACTCGTGGGAGGCCAGAAGATCCCGGACCTGGGTTCCAATTTCTTTCAGCCTACTGTAATCACCGGCATGACGAAAGACATGGCTATCGCGTCCGAAGAAACGTTTGGACCAGTCGCTGGTCTCTTCTCCTTCGACACCGAACAGGAGGTCGTGGAGCTAGCGAACGCTGCCGAAGTTGGGTTGGCCGGATACTTCTACTCAAGAGACCTGGAGAGGATACACCGGGTAGCAGAAAACTTAGAAGTTGGTATGATAGGCGTCAACACGGGCCTTATCTCTGATGCTGCCGCGCCCTTTGGAGGTGTCAAGCAGTCTGGCTTTGGCAGAGAAGGATCTAAGTATGGCATTGAGGAGTACCAGCATATCAAGATGATCACATACGGAGGCATGGGCAAGGCATTGCAGAGCTAAATTGAAGGTATTAAGGGCACTTTAAAATAAACTGCTATAATATTAAATGCTAAAACGACATTATGTTTTATTTTTCTAGTCTGAAATGCGATGAATTTCGCTTGTGATATACGTGGAAGTAAGGTCCTTAAGTGCCTCCAACCCGTTCGTAGTGTGGGGAGCCCTTTATATGGGACACTCGGTTTATTGCATAGTATCAAATTTCACCTGGCCGAATTGTACATCCTCAAAATTTCGGAGCTTCAAGCTCTATTCAAAATCCCAAACCACATCAATTAAGCCCGATGATACGCCAACCATTCCACTTGGCCATCGGCCGCACAAGGGCTGATCTCAGCCGCGTCACAGACGGCATCGCAGCCTCTCTACGCGCATTCTCCACCGCACAGCAACTCGCCGCACCGCCCAACGATAACAGCGACAATAATGGCAGCTCGCGACCGACGGGAAGGCAACGCGCCGCCGCGGCGTTCTCCGACCTAGCCGAAATGAACAAATCGAACTCAACACAGCCCTCGAGGGGGGGCACTATGTTCAGAAAACTCGACTTGCGGGCCGAAGCCGGCACCATCTCAGTCTCCAGAGCTCCCTCCCCAAGCGCTCCCAGGATCATCCGCGGCGGCTTCAGAGGTAGAGGCGGTTTCAACCGAGGTGGTATGAACGCACGAGGCGGTGCAGGCGGTGGTCGTGGTCGTGGCCGGGGGCGAGGCGGCAGAGGCGGAGGAGGCGGAGGGCGTGGCAGACGCCAACGGGACAAGGGCGAAAGCGACGACAACAGCGGTCCACAGGAAGACACCTGGGCCCCCGAGGTCCTCGCCATGCGCGAGGCGTGGGAGATCGGCTCGACGCAGCAGTTCGACCCCTCGATCTCCTTCGGCGATCTCGCGGGCTGGGGCCCCGCGGTGGCCACGGCCGGGTCGCGCGTCGCGAAAGACGACACCGTGATACGCCAGGCGCGCATCCTCGGCAGCGGACAGCCGTACCACCCGCTCAATACCTTCCCGCTAGATGAGACGTGGAAGCGGTACACCAAGGGCAACGGCGTGTTTTTCCCGACCGAGGAGATGAAGAAGTTCTCGGCGGACGCGATGGGCTTGGAGGCTTTCCCGCCTGTGCCCCAGGAGACCAAGGATGCGGTTCTAGAGAGTGCGCTGCTCGGCAAGTATGAGGGACCAGAGTACGCTGAGCTAGGGGACACCCTGGGTGCTGTGCGGAACTACGTCAAGAGGGACGCCTCGTGGAACTCAGATGCAGAGAGACGGATCGAGGAAAAGGTTAGGAGCTTATTACCACAGGGATACAGAGGGCCTGCGAAGGCTGCTGGTGAAGCCAAGGCACGCACTTGAGGGACGAGCAAAGCTCTTTCGTGACCATACACATAGAAAATGTGGGATATATAGACATTAAGGGTAAATGTCTCTTATGAGACGACAGGTCTCGGCTAACGCTAACTGTATCATATCACCACTTTTGTAAAAAGAGCAAACCCTTATGAATCATGTACATGTATCCTGACGCTTGGTCTGTTTTAATGCCATCACCTCTGGGGTGCAATGCTGCTTCCAGATAACAGTGCCATCTATATCCCTGTGAACTCTGCGAATATGACTTCATGGATATGCGGCTCAAAGTCTACTGCGCGGCTTTGAGAGTGCTCTTCTCAAGCTCGTCGACCTCAGCAATAGCAGCCTTGATGACCTTGTCCAGATCCTTATCCGCAGTCCTCTTCAGGTCGGGCCCTATCACGCCCTCCTTCCTCCATGCGACGTGCAGCTTGTCCCGCTTCTGGCGGACGGCGCGTATGCGCTCGCGCCACTCGTGCGCGGCAGCCTTGATGCGCTTGGCGAGGTCCTCGCGGCTCTCGGGCTCAACCTTGAGCACCAGCTCAAGCTCGTTGTCCGGGTCCCGCTGCGGCTGCTGGTTGAACTGCGGGCTCACCTGCACCGCGCTCATGATGGGCTTCACGTACCCAGCGTCGTGCACCAGCAGCGAGACCGCCCGCCCGCCGCGCGGCACGACCTGCGCCAGCTCGCGCAGCGGGTACGCGTCGCCGGTCTTCTTGTCGACCGTCACGCGCAGCGCGCCGATCGCGTCCGGGTCGAACAGCGACCCCGTCTGCATCTTCTTCAGCGACGGCCGGAAGTGCTCCGCGTGCTTGGCCAGGCGGGACTCGACATCGGCGAAGTTCAGCGGCTCCTCGGGGTTCGGCTGGGGGTGCTTCGGCCCATCGTCGTCCGCCTTGCTGCTCTCGGACGACGCTTTGTCGTTGGATTTGCCGCGTCCCGCATTGTTACGCTTTGCCGGCTCTTCCTTTTTCTTCGATTTAGACAGAGCGAGAGATACATGGATGCTTCGCACGCTGTCCAAGGGGGTTGGGAAAGATAGGGCAAAGGTAGATGCCAGGAGGGGTCGTCTTTCACAACGCTGGCATATCGGCCCGGTGCTGTAGGGAGCGCTGTGGGGAACTATTGCACGAGCTACATCGTAATCACTTTCAAAAGTGTTAGCGAAGCTGTTTAGAGTGCCAATTGAGTAGACATACAATCTCCCTATTTTCGGCTGTACAAGTCCGCGTCGTAGCAAGGACCGGGCTGTGGCGTTGCTCATTTTGGCTTTATATTGCGGAGTGTTGTAGCTCCATTCAAGCTGTCGGAAGCTAGGCTGACTTGGTTGGTTGGTGGATTGTAGATAAGATAAACAGTAATCTAGCCGATCAGTTGCCCCATATTATACATAAGCTTGAGGTGCATGCACTCATGTCAACCCAAAAATTACTCTGACAGCTGCTATAATTCCCATATCAATAGAGACGAAAAAAGGAGGGGGCGAATTGTTTAAAAAAAGAAAAAGCATTGTTCTCGCCCGGGATCGAACCGGGGATCTTCTGCGTTTTCCACGACGGTATGTAAAGCAGACGCCATAACCACTAGGCCACAAGAACCTGCGTCAAACGATCGCTCGAAACCCATGTAAAATGCTGCACTATATTCATATATACATGTACATTGTACAAACCGAAGTACAACATGTAAATCTAGTCTTCTGGGCCATATGGGATCCCAACGCATGAAGAGCCTTAGGACTGTGGTTGTTGTGACATCCACGTCTGGATACTCATACGCGTTATTCAACCAGCCCTTTACTCCGACCTCCAGAAGTAGATATACCATCCTGCATGTAGTCGACAACGTAGGATTCAGACTATCCGTTAGCCATAAGAGAGGTTGAGGTTTCGCTGTGAGTTTATGTCCGCCTGCTTATGGCGCACGCTCAGCCTAGCATCTCTATTATCTTAGCAATGCATTAGCTTTTCCGGCGTCACAGTGGTCAGAGGGCTCCCGAGAGGTCCATGTTCGGAGATTTGGGGCCAACAAAACGTTGCTAATTTTTGCTACTTTTATAAAGACATGGCGAACTTTACTCGATGTCTAGCAACACGATAGCGCCTCTATATCTAAGCAAGCCTCTATACGCCTTCAATATACCTCCCATGCCTCAATACCAACGCCAGCAACCAAGATCCTCTCGCCTTTTCCTGTGTCCAGTGTCCTATTCTCCCTGTTTTCGTGCGGCTCCTTGATAACCTCTAAATCGCCTGCGTCTGCGACACCGCTGTACTGATCATCGAGCAAGTGAACCTTGGGAGAAGCAGATCTCCAATCAACCAGACGCCACGTCTTGACGCGCTGGTCGTTGCTCGTAGTGGCGACCACAGCATCCCGGGCTCCGTTTTCGAGGCGGACTATCCCTAGCCCTGTTACGGCGGCGGCGTGCGCTGAGCGGACGATGAATTTGCTGCGGATTTCGTAGTGGGATTGCCTTTGGCTGGGAGTAGGAAGATGGGGGATACACGGTGACTCTTTTGCTTGAATTTGCTCTGAGGATAATGCAGAGAGACGAGTCTGGAGGTGTAAGGAGTGAGAATCTATTGTAGAATTGGAGTCTCCCGTCCGATCTTGCGTAGATATTGGCTCGGAGGATGGCGGTAGAAGGGGAGAGTGTAGGTGTAAGACCCCTACCGCACCACCGTCGCCGCCCGTGACAACCAGGTACGAGGTCCCAGTCTCAGTGGTGACGCTGCGCATATCCAGCGATTTAATACTACTTTGGTGGAGCTTCGCGACGAGTATGCCGGCTAAATCCTCAGTCTCATCCTCAGAAGCCTGTACATGTGTAAACACCACCAAATGACCATCAGTGGCAGTCGTTAGAACCTGCGGTTGGTACCGATCAATGAAATTCAGATGCCTGAGCTGCGTGAGACAAGCGCCGGTGTACATGCGTCTCCCTAATAGCCGGAATCCCTCTCGCGCGGAATAGATATAGCTCTGAACCGAAGAATTTGAGAGTGTCATCGAGATGCAGAACTCCAGCTCAGGCCATGGTTTTTCTGGTCTGGAGACGGTATCTCCGTCAACAGTATTAGAATCTTCGTTCAAACACTGCACGTCGAAATCTGTAATCCGCAAGTCGCCCACTTCAGAACGATCAGAGAATACAGTCTCGCATACGACACCGAGCGGACAGATGTCGCTTTCCATGGCCGTGATGCGCCAGACGAAGAACTCCTCGTTGCCGCCACTGCTGAAGAGGTATTTATCTTTGTACCACTGCAGTTTCTGAATGCCTGTGTTGTGCTTTTCTAGAGTAAGTACGCAGCGAAGCTGCTGCACTCCACCATTTCTCCCACCAATATCCCATATGCGGATCGCTGTATCCTCGGCGCCTGTAGCCACATACTTCCTCGACGCGGCTGATACAGACTTGATCTCACGGCCGTGTCCGCCCATCTTTAGCCGCGAATGCGGCTGGCGCGTCTGCGAGAATATTTTCAGCTGCGACGCTTTGGTGCAGGCGAACCTGAAACCATCGGGATTTCCCTCTATCTGCACCTGATCGAAGACGCGATGACCACCACCGCAGTCGATTGTCGCGACTTCGGTTTGCTGCGTCACGTTCCAGATCACGAAATATTTGCTTCGGAATCCGTAGAGTAAGAGGTCACGCTTTCCATCTCCTTTGTCGAAAAGCCATGATCCTTCGATCATGGGCCCGAATGGCGGCTTTGTCTCGTGCAGCAGCCGGACCTGGAGATTATCTGGCGTAACTAGGATCTCGTAGATTCTGTATTTCCCATCGCGGCCAACCGCAAGGAAATAAAGAGGGGAGTACTCAGACTCCTTAGGGAGAGGAAGTATTGATGTTATCTTATCACCAATCTTAACTTCTATCGTCAAAAGAGGTGCGTAACTCCCGTCATTGATCAGCCCGAAAATTGAGATGCTCCCGTTTCTGGAGCCAAGGACAAGATAATCATGACACCACGCCGCAGCTGTCACGATAAATTTATCAGGAGTGTTCACATCTGCTCGCAGTACTAAATCGCGATTTTTGTTAAGCCGGAGAAGTTCCGCTTTCCTACTCCCGAAAACCGTGACGAGAAGCTCGATATACCTATCAGAATCTCCTTCAAACGGAAAGCCTGTATGAGCTGAAACCCAAGTATCGGAGAGGCATATAATTTCTGTAATCTTTCGTTCCAGTTTATGAATCGAATGAAGCGTGTTGCCACTAGCTTCGCGATAGTAAAACAACTCGCCGTTGGGTGCACCAATAAAAGCCGTCGCAGTTCTCTTGGAACTGCGTAGAATGGTATATGATTGTATGGCCGTCCGAATTCCATCGGGGATTGTGAGCTCTCTCCATTCTGTTTCACGGTTGAAGTTACCCTGGAAAATGCGGCCTGACCTGGTTGTAAGGAGTAATGTGTCGCCCGTGATGAATGTGAAGCTTTGAAACATTTCTTTCCCACTTCCATGTTTGAAAGACGAGATATGAGGGCCAGTTATGAGGCTCTTTTCTTTGCAGTTTTCGATAACGGATGATGTAGATACCTCGATTTCTTGAATAGACTGTGACTGATGGCCGATACTACCTGCGGTTCTCGGCGCACGAGCTATGAGACTGTTCATCAGTGCTATTTTGCCATCTCCGCCGCCAGTAGCTATTAGAAGGCCGCTCTCATTAAAAGTCAGTGCGTGTGACCAGATGTGCTTCCCGCAATGGTTCGAGAAGGTTTCGTGGTGGGTCAACTTAGAGACCGGTTGGGTCGAGCTGCTCGAGACCCCTATCTCGGATGAATCGGAAGTGGTCGACTGGCGGGAGTTCAGTTCTAGATGCCACCTTTGCATCGTAGCGTCTTCTCCAAATGAATAGACTTCGATCGGGTTCTCTCTAGAAAAGGGACCCAGGCAGTTAATCTCAACTTGCCATATCCTTGATATATGACCCATAGCCACTGCGATACACCTTGAAGAGTTATCAGCTAGCCCTGTTGAACCAACGATGGAGTCACCAAATCCCGTCTGCCTTGCACGGGAGATCTGTGTTTCGTACCCGCTGTCTTCATTCGTAGGCCCATCACTTCGTTCAGTGATATCCCAAATTCGGACCGTCCTGTCGTCGCTACAGCTCGCAAGCAGTCTGATCTTTTCCCCAGTGTTCGTGACTATCTCAGGCGAGATATGCACACCGAAAATCGAGCCTTCGTGACCCGAGAACATGAATAAGACCTCGCAGCCGACTGTTTCTCTCCAACCGTGAGCATCAACTACCCCGCTACCAATATCACGGCCGTTGATGCCTGCATTGGGGCTAAGATGACACTTCCAGACCACGATCTCACCGAATACGGTGCCAGCAGCTACGAGTACGCAGTCCGGCTCAATCCAGAAGAAAATTCCAGAGTACAAGACAGGCCGCGAGGGTGACTGCACTCGTCCTAAAATGAGCGTCTTTTGATCCGCGCTTACATGTCCTTGTATGACCTCGTTATGCGCCGTGAGGAGAACAATACGGTTGTCATCAAAGGGTGAAATGCGGCCGTCGAATATCCAATCGGCAGCTATTGCTTCAGGTATTTCGAGCGTAGGGTTTACCAACCCCGATATGCCTCCAAGCGAGCCATTATCACCGACACGGGAGCTGGCAGCAATCGATTCCTCAACGATGCAGCTAGGCAGTACTTTAACAGCCTGGCCGCCCCAAACGAGGACCTGAGGAGGCCGTCTGGGACTGTTACTGTTGCTGCTATCATCCTCAGCCGCGGGAGGCACAGAGATCCCGTGGATCGGCTGCGCATGAAAGACAGGCAGTGTGCCACAGAGCCGCGAGGTTGCGACATCGTAGACCTTTATATCTGTGTCTTCCGCTGCCAGTAGGTATTGTCCCTCGGCCAGCGTCAAGAATGCAAGCGCCGTGATAGGGCTCAGTACATGTTCACGGCGGAGCCGGCCGGGGAGTGCCGCCTACATGACGCCAACATTAATGACTGCATTGCCTATATTCTTGGTGTTTCTTCATCATCTGCGGCAGTGATTATGCTGAAGCTCTGGGTTTCGTTGACTTCTAGGAATTTGGTGGGACTCTTGTGGTGTGGGGCAATGTAGAGGAATTTTCTTTCTTTGCAGACAGAATAAAAACCACTTACCTCGTGAGACATTGCTCGAGCGACTTCATAACGCTGCGATGCGCAACTTCAAAAGTCCGATTGTATGTGCATTGTTAGTACGTAAAGTTGTGAATGAAACTACTATTATAAGTGCTAATGGGTTTTGTGTAGGTAGGTACGGTCAAAACTAAAGCACGTGATATGGGCTACTGAGGTTTGAACAATCATCGAAGCATCACCTAACAACTTAAGATGCAATTTAAACTGGTTTGAAATATAATCATGTAGTTCATTATGCTATGATCTATCGGAATACCCTGGGTATCTATTCAGCCGTGGCCTAAGATCAATTCTTTAAGCACCCCTATCACACCCCGGTCATTAAATCCTGTCATACCCTAACCAGGCGCCGGTAAATGCAAACTTAAAACATAAATATGTATTGATTTCGTAGGACATGGCTTGGTCCGGTATAAGTCAGACAGCCTCTT